TAGAAGAAGAGGTGGTGGAGGAGTTGGTAAGACAGATAGATCACATACATCACTTATTTTTGGCGAACTTATGTCTTGAACAAAAGAACTGTTTTCAGGAAAATGGGTATCAGGAAATGGACTTGAGTTCATTTGATAGGTTTTCGTTTCCAAGGGTGAATTGGGGTATGCGATAGGAATGTTCGGATTGTTTACGCCAATCATCTTATTGGAAAGAATAAATAAATTTAGTAAGACAAGTCGGGAAAAAAAGATGAAATGAAATGTTATGATCCAAAAATGAGTACTGGAAGTCATGGAAATATTTTATACGTAATCGGAAATTATAAGTAGCTGTAATTAGCTGTAAAGATAAACTAAAAGCAATGGATATACAAATACTATACTAGACTTGGTTGTGCTGATTTATGACATAAAATAATCAAACCACAACGAAACAAAAACATAAGTTCCGATCAATTTTAACCTTATGAGATTAAATTAGCAAGATAAATAGTAAAAGAGTCAATATAGAATAGTATTAATGATAACGATAAAAATCAAACATTAGGGATAAAGTTTGAAAAGATAGAACAGATAAGTATACATAAAATAATATAAGGACCTGATATGTAGCACAAACCAAAGAGTGAATAGACCTGCACGATCGTGACTGAGTCATATCACCTGACAACTCCAACCACTAATCGCGTTTAGCATGCAGACCCAAACCAGATTGTCTGAAACTACCAATATAGTTTACATTAACGGTCAACAAGTTCATGGACCGATGTCACGTTTTAAATTTGTTGCCCCTAGCTTTCTTCCAACATCAGCTAACATCCACCGTCGAGGTAGGTAGGTAGTGGTTAGATATAGGTAACACAGACCCAAACCATCCCAGCTGAAAATTCACTATCACATCGACCAGTTTGCCGTAGCCTAGTACTCTGGGTCAAACCACAATACTGCCTACTCGGTTGTTTCACTACACGAGAGCAATGCTTCGACGAAATAAATGATCAAAAACCTGAAGTTTGCGCACACCCTTTTCTTATATAGCCCATAGTAATACAAAATGGACAGTTGAAGCAAAAATATGCACCTAAAAGGAGGAAAACGCATTCTAAGCATGCTTGTATTGTCGGTCAAGGAGATCAGAAGACTGTACATAACATCAGTATCATCACTTAGTCGGACCAGACTAAGCCTCTTGGTAGGAAATTAATCACTAGGTAGTTAGATGAATGATAGCCTAGGATAATACACAAGATAAAAACTTACTACTGCAAAACTGAGGAAAATGTGAGCATTGATTAGAACGTAGTCGAAAATACGAGATGAACACTTGAAACGTGATATTAATAGAATATTTGTTGAAGAAATAATAATCAATTAGTATATGAAACTATTAAGAATGATAAGAGCAACAAGAAAACATGGCATAACAATTTTGACGAAACCATTGGTAAAAATTAATTTAACAAACCTGTGGTAAAATGATTCGTTCAGGAATTTTTAGTTTATTATGCTGTTTAGGAAATGTGAGAGACTGTACAAGTGGGGAAAAATAAGATACATGTCGAACATTTGGAGATTCGCTGCTAATCGAATGAACGTTTGTGTCACATGAACTAGTACCATATTGAACCCAACGTATACTAGACCTAGGAGAAATATGGAAGTAGATAAAGGTACTAATGTGGAAACGGAGGTGAGATTCTGTAAGAATTTAAAAGACATCCAAAAGGTACAAAAAGTTTAAATTAACAATAAGATATATTTGGGACTACAGTGGAAATATTGAGTACTATAATCTCACGCTTGGTTATTCACTTAATCTGACATATTGAAATAATTTAATTAACTAGATAAGGTATCGGAAATATTATCACATTATAATGAGATAAGGCATAATATTTTGTTTGAAATCTTATTCAGTAAATATGAAAATAAAACGAGTAGGTCTTTATATTAACAAGTGTAAAAACAGTCGATATATGACGTTTATAACAGTATTCAGTTCTTAACATATTTTGCTTACATCGGGCAACATAATGGACATCAATATTTTAAAACAACTGATGACATGCTTAAACTAAAATTATTTTTGCACCCACCATGTGGGCTATAGTACGTATTCTTTCTAACTTAAAAGCATTTCGTATGGTAGATGGTTGATAGACTTTTCAGAGGAAGCCATACTTAGTCTTCAATGAGCCCGGATGGTTTCATATGAACAGTACCATTGACTTGCTCAAAATGAAAAAATTTAGCTTTGTCCCAAGGATGGTGACGAATATATTGTTGAAGAAATGATGACAGCTTGGAAGGTTTATTTATTTATTTATTTGAACACATAAATATTGGTACAAGAGGGCACCAAATATAAATGCGCCACACAAATTTTCATTTTATTTGTGTGTGGGCTGTGATACTGTCCGGGTGCCCAGACCGAAGCAGGTGGTTTTCTTAGGGGGCCACACCCCGAGCCTTTGACCTAAAGGTCTAACCCACAAGGCAGTGGAGCATCGTGAGGAGATGCAGTCCCATGGTAGCCGGTGACCAACGTTTGGTTCATACGCCATTTGTTCCTTCAGGATACTGGAGTCCATGTGCCCCATTGGTTTGGGATCCGGTTATAGCGCCGGACATTCGCTTTTCGTCCTCTCATTTTCGTAAACAACACCCCCGCCACGAGAAGGCAGTGAGTAGGACTTCCCTGGCAGAGGCTGTATACGCGTGGCCGTGTGAGAGCATTTCGAGAGGGAGGGCGGGCCCACCCCACTCTCGGCTATACCAGGGCATTTGGGGGCGCTTGGAAAATTTATTGGTATACTAAAGTTTATCTATTAAAACACATAAGCATTGGTACAAGCAGGCACTAAATATGTATGCGACACAAATTCGGTTTGTGTAAGGACTGGAATACTGTCTGAGCGCCCGAACCGAAGTAGGTGGTTTTCTTAAGGGGGTAATATCCGAGCCTTTGACCTAAACGTCTAATCCACAAGGTAGTGGAGTGACGTTAGTCTCATGGTAGCCGGTGTACAACAATAGGTTCTTAGGCCATTTGTTCCCTCAGGATCCTGGAGCCTATGTGCACCATTGGTTTGTAATCGAGGTTTTCCAATTCCCCTAAGTGGATCCCACGTATCCACTAACCTGGTGGAGACGATCACACTCATTATTTCCACCTTTCAAAGTTCTATGGGATAAATGATATAGAGCCCACAGAAAACCTTTTTTCACTATTAGTGAATGCTAAATATATTTCTAAATGTTCTGAACACCTAAGAAAAGGAATATTACATCATTATCCTTCATCGCATACTTAGGTTAGAGTTAAGAAATTAACATTCGATTAGCCAGAATGCACGAAAACGTAACACGATAGACGATGGTAGCCTCTAAATAGATCCAAGCAAGAAATCACGAAATTATATTTAAGTAGCTTTTTCAAAAGACCATTGTTTTATTGGTGTACCAGTCAATTGCGTGGATTTAAAACAACTTGAAGATAACAAAAAATCATACTAAAATGGACAACTAATTAGTATCCCAACAAACACTACGAGGAATATTACTGATGCTGAAGGTCAATGTGCTTATTAATTTTGACTGCCCATACAACCAAATCGTAAAGTGATAGTTGCAAACACTATAACCATACTATATTTTAGAGTAATAAACGGACACCACCAAAGGTTAATCTACATAAACTAATATTAAGCCTTATGGTTTTGTAGACAATATTTTGACTATTGGGGATGTAGATACATTTTCCTTGAACTACTATTTGTTATGACAGTCTCTAATAATCAGTTAGTTATTGAAAAATGAAATATGAAAGGACTTAAAATATACATTGCCATATCACCTATTAAGCAAAGTTTAATCAATTATTGACGAAACTTACCACATTGACTTCCCGAAACACATAGGAAACGGTTTGCATTTGTTGGGTGATTTTCTGAGTGAACAACGTGAAAGGCCAGTATGGAGTTTATACTTATTGGCACGTTTGTGATGTCCAAAAACCGCAGCACATTGAAAAACAGTTTTTACATTTACATTTAAACGTGAAGACGTTTCTATGATACACAGATTTTTCATCCAATGTTTTTTAAATCCATTGAGTGTATCCTTAAAGAGAGTTGAGGCCTGACTAGAAACACTCATATCATGTTTAGATGTTGCGACAACCACTGGGAATTTAAGAGACGAAAGACGAGTGATGACATGACCTAAAAAGGCAGCCTGTTGTACAGCTGAAGGACCACATAATGACATGTCATATACACATACAAAGACATCTACAAATAAAGTGGTTGGTTCGAGATAAACCTGAGGAAAAGCCGACTCATGTCCAAGCTGCTCCTTGCAAACGTAACACAACTTTCTTGAATGCAACGTGATTTTAAAGTCCAAACATCGTTCTGCATATGTTCTGGGTTCGAAAAGAGGTTGGAAAAGATGGTCATCCACAAAGTCACACTGCTCAATTATCCGGATATGTAGTTTACAGCCGTTAACATTTACACTACTGTCTCCCCAATATAGCCAGTGGCTTGAACAGATGACTTCACTATCATAATCTGACAAACTTAAAATTGACAAGTGGTTTTCATTGAACCTGTATGGTGCCATGAAACGGTTTATGAGACAAGATTTCCCAACATGTTGGCGAACATCCGTTCCAGAGCCTGGATACCCAACTACAGATATGGTGACTTTCTCAGTCTTTTCGAATACCATGTTTTCTCAAACAGACATAAGAACATTCTGGACACAACGATTCACCTTTCTCACGTGCCTGTGGATTTGATTTAACGGGCTTAATAAAAACCCTTTCAAACAAACTTCTACAAAAATAAGTTCTCTAAACCTTAACATCGAAAACGACTAATTCAAATTACATTTTAGGTTACCATTTGAGTAAGATATATCCGAATTTTGGCGAAATTTCAATCTTTTCGGCACTGATGGTATAGTTATATGTTTACGTATATTTTAATGAGGCTAAGTTTTGTGTTCTTCGTCAAGTAATTTTAGACATCTAGTTGTAAATATTTTATTTAAACTGTGTGGTGTATCATTTTTCCTGGCATCCTAGAACTATCCAATATGTACTTGATGGATTTCCTACTGCATAGTAATCAATCACAAGACTTGACTACCAATAAAAGCTAAAAGTACCCTTTGTTTCGCTTCTAACTCAAATGTTCCCCATATGTTTTGCGTTGGGATTAAACTCCAGTAAATATTTCAGAGAATGGCAATGGGTGCACCCACCCAAGCTCCCAACTTTGGGGAGCTTTGGGGAAATTTTGGAAAAATCCCCAGAGTGAAACAGCCTTTCCCAAAGTTTGGGGAAATTTGGGGGGTTTTTTGCCATTTCCCCAAAGTTTACTATAGAGGCTTCCCCAAAATTGGGAGCTTAGGCATTGCCAAGACGATTGTCTGGACCACGAACCAATCTTGTGGATGGACTTAAGATATTTTCCAATGTACTCTTATCCTTTATTAGTAAAGAACGAAACTTTTTTTATACTTCATGCAAAGCCGAACGAGATACTTTCACCATAGAACTACTTGAGAACGAGCCTCGAAAATTCCAGTGCAATTTAGACTCAAAAGTCATTTTTGTCACAACTGAAATATTGTGTTGGATTGTAAGGAACAAATACGCCCGAATATTTCGATACAAAGGACACTTCTTGCCTATAATTAGTTAAGTAATACATCCAGCTGCTTGTGGTGTGATTCAGATAGGTTACTTTACATTCATCAAATTTACATATTAGTCTTTTGTTGTGTTTCTTGTCAGATTCCCCTAAACTGCTAACCTCTTTTTGTTTTGGATTTTCCTCTGGGATGTTGCGCCATCAATATAAAGCAGAATTTTGTAAGATACCTGAACTGTGAAAAAATCAATAATTTACCCTGGCGTTAAGTATCTAATTACTTAAATATGAAAAACTAGTGAATCAATGGTAACTGAGTTCTTGTTTAAAAATTTTCCCTCATATAACTTTGAATTGTCTCAAAGTTTTGGAAGCTATTACCCAAGATTTCCTGGAGCGTCAGACAGAGTATTAGCTTCCTACTCTATCAGTTTAAGATTGCCCCTTAATGCTATAATATCCAAGTGTTTTAAATCTTATCATCTGTTGTTCACAGGACACTTTAGTTCATTCTTATTGATAAGAATGGAGTTTATATCACCTTACTTAAAAACTCTAGAATCAAGTTACTAAGTGGAAATGTCTCTTTAGTGATAATTCGGACTAAGAGTGATGGCCCCTTGTCATTACTCCAATGTACATATTTAGCGAAGTTGACTTTAAGATGACTGAATTATCTTAGGCTCAAGATGTGTGCGTGTACTAATATAAAGAAATGACTTGGTCCTTACAAAATCCGGTTGTCTCATTCGGTGTCAGCGTTAGGTTTTCAATAAATAATTCCAATTAACCACCTTTTAGTGTTAAGCAATCCTACGGATCCATTAAAGCAATCAAACTCTTCAGCGTTTACATGAAACACCCCTAACTAAGAAGTATAAAGCTGTATCCCACCTTTCTGTAGTCTCATAAAAAGGACATGCTAACTATGGCTAGTTCTTAGTCAATAGTTCAAGTTATCCAAGTTTCTGTTGAGCTTATCAGACAAACATTATTTGGTTTATATAATTCCCGCAAACCACTCATTCTAGTGGACAAACTATGGAGGTTTATACATAGGCAGTTGGTATTTTCTATTTGAACTGAGTGTATATCTATGACCTCTTTGTCTGATGCTATCTTATGCGAATGAGAAAAAAACTATCTACGCGAAGCTTTCTAACTGAGTCATTGCTACTCCTCTCATTAACATTCTTACTGCACAGTTTGATAATTAAATGATTAGTTTTAGTCTGGTCTTGTTGTGTCTAATCCCTAAACCATGCAAACCACAGTGGTTGCGTGGAGTTTTGTCCAATAAATTTCATTCTCCGTAAATAATGTTATTTCTTATAACCACTGAATGTTCTCAATCCTAAATCAACTATTGGCTCTATTTTCATTACCCATTTATTCCATAATTTGAGATAGATAGTTCAGTGTAATTCTGAAGGATTCATTCATAATCTTTGGATGAAATATTATGTGGAAAATAAAAGACATTATTCTATTTCCGATTTTCGGAGTTCATCTTATTATCAGTGGATTGAGAAATGATCACTTTTCTACAGTGTGTCACCATGGTATGATAAATCACTCCGAAGTTGTAACTCATGTGGCGTCTTCGAATATGCAAAAGCTTATTCGTCGTAATTCACAAACGGAATTAAGAATTCATACCCATTATGATAGATCAATTAAATTTCTTAAAAATTTTCAGGATATTAAAGTAGGTTTTACCTAACTGAAATATCCCTTCTTAGAGAGATGTAATTGAAGTAGCAATTGGGTTTTGGGAGGACGCTCTGCTGTTACGTCACTCTCATTCCATGTCCAGTAGATTAACACTTGACAGGTAAGTGTAACCGATTCAATCGTTTAGTGTTTCCAGAGTTTGTGTTGATGGTGCCACAAAGTTGGTGACTTTTGATAATCAGCTCTTGACATTTTGTATCAATGGTTGTGTGGAATGGACAAAATGTGGACCTATAAACATTCCAGTGTCACATTTAAATGTAAAAAGCCTCTTTTATTGATTGAGAAATTTCACTTGTTTTTATTAGCAGTGCAGGTTTATCTATAATGGGACCTCAATGATTTCAGGTCACAAGGGCGAAGGTATATACCGTGCCAACTTCATACTCTATATTTCATCGCTTAGAACACACAGATGTAATACTGCTAAAGTCCTAGGTTATGCCGCACACTGTCAGCTAGAGGCTAATACTGATCGGTAGATTAACCTTTTTTTATAAAAAATATAATCTTGTTTTAATCAGAATTCTTAATGTTTTGACTAAGCATCTTGTGTCACTTTTTACAGCATTCAATTTTTTCCATACACTTTTAATATCTACTCTACTGTGTTTAGAAGAGTGCGTGTAAATTATTTATTAGACAAACATGACAGTTCTTCGACGCTTTTGACCTCTATTTCTATGAACACTTAAGTAGGTGTTCTTTTTTGTATTAAAATATTCGTAAATTAACCATCTGATTGAATGTGAACTAGCGTCGTCAAATGCACTTCTGTTCAGCCTGTTAATAATTATCCGATGGTACCCTGATTCTTTTATTCATAGACTGACTTAGTTACATAAACTGTTATATTACTGAACCTAACTTGTATAGCTTGTGACTGTGGTGCTAAATGATACAGGTTCGAATATCAATGTTCATATAAGTTTTCTTGGATTTTCGAATTCAATGTCCAGATAGACCCCAGAGAGTACTGAAAAAATTTAGAGACTTGTTTCTTTTCAATTTTACAAATTGAAGTCAAAACATAAGGTACTATTGTACGTTTTCACTGAGCTTTCTAAGCTACAACTCACTTTTTAATAGGTAGAATTGGCTTACTACCGAGGTCAATACCCTCATCTTGGTCATGGCCTGACTGTCAGTTATTGCACACATGTTTCAATTAACTAATATATCTCATTAACTGTGTGAAAGTTCATCTACTTGAGTTCAATTCACACTGTTTGTGTGATACCAACAGTTCACGGAAACCATTATAGGAGAATTTGAGATCTATTTGTTGGTAGATAAAGGCTATAATTGTAAAGTCACCACTCTACTAATAAATTGTGTACTGGCCAAATTGCTAAGACAGTCGGTTCATATTCCAATATTTTATTTCTACTTGCTTTTATGCTTCATTTAATGCGAAATTCATAGCATGAGAGGTTTCATGTTATCCACTTGTCCGGTTGTAACCAGTTTAATTTTAGACTGGAATGTCTAAAAGCTGAGGTAATAGTATCTACTAACCATTAAATGTTCTGAGGATAGACTCTAAATTAGTCTGTAGAAAGGCTATATATTTTTTCCTGTCCTGTCAATTTTTTGTTATTTTATTTCTTCTTTTAGCCCTATTGCTGGCTACATCAATTTCTGTCCTGATACATTAAGTAATGAATATAGCGATAAAATGCGTTCACTGTTTGTTGCTACGCATGAAATATTACATTCACTAGTAAGCGATCATTCATTATTATGTAAATGGATTTTAGCTATTTCATGAAGCTTGATAGAGGTTAAAGTTATAAACAGTTTGTCTCCGATTCTAATTATATTAGTGTAACCTTAAACCACGTGACTTCTGATATTCAGTAAAAACAAATAAAAAAATCACCAGAACATCTTTCCGCCACTGAGGCTAGTCATTATCACTGAAACATATTTATCTTCATTTAGGAGGTATGTGTTACTTAGATTCTCGTGTTAAATTATGAACACCAACTATTTACATTACCATCCGAAGTTTTAATCCGTTCATATTAAAAGTTGTGACATTTATTCAACATTACATGTTGACATGAGTCTCAGTAGTATGACTGACTGTTTGTCGCCACTTTTATGATGAACAATATGAATGGAGCCTGCACTTCCTTCTTAACAATAACGTAAGTGCTTTAAGGATGACGATATCTCGTAACGTTTTTGGTGGAGTAGTTTATTTATGAAGCCTTCATCGTTCTTCTGAAATACACAATCAGCATAAACTACAGATGGGAGTACGCTTTTCGAATTTCTTTACTTATGATCGATACCGTTCTGGCTGTCTAGATTGGTTGTTACTAAACCTTGTAACCGTTCATGTGTTTATTTCAATTACTATCCTCATTTACTTGATTTTTAACCTTATTGGACTTCAACCTTTATACTTTTTTGTAGGGATTCTCTACAAGTTTGTTTGCATTCTACAGAGATAAACAAAATCGACCATTAACACCACGTGATCCAATAACATTTAAACCTGCACTAGGCTGGTATTCAGGAAAGAACGGGTATGTTGTTGTTTTGTTAAAATCTAATCTCTCATCCTGTTACTCAAAATTTCTGTGGAAAATGTATATATATTTGCCGGTGTTAATATTAATAATAAACCTCTTGATTTTTTAATATAATACGTGCTCTAGAAATAATTAGGTGACTTACGAAGGTCACGCAATCATAGTTTTATCGTTTATCATTACCTCATAAATATCTAAATTCAAATAACTTACGCAATTAGTTCTGTCGCCTTTAACTAAACATAAAAATGTTGATCAGCAATTTCCATAGTTTTCTAGCAACAAAGAATCGAATGAAAAATACTTACTCAGAGTTTACAATTTTCTCAGTAAATAACAACATGGAAACCCACTCATCTAATCATTTGATTAGTGGAATAGATAAAATTCAAGTATTCGCATGAGTTTGCATCTTTATAAGGCGGCGCTTTGAGTTTAGGTATAAAAAACATGTATGAGGTCATAGATCAAATTATTGTCGTAAGTCAGATTGTTTTTCAAATTTAATTGCTATTTTTAAGTATGAACCCTAATCTGTCAATCGAACAATCTCCCACTTGCGGGGTCGTAGATACTTACTGCTGAGGAGTTCCATACTAGAACGAAGCGGCCGTCCATAGCTTCTAAGTTTCCAATTGTGGTCTAGCTTAGATCGACTCGTAACTTCAACTGTAAACCGATAGTTCAAATAATGATCAGCCTATGATTTACACTTGTGGCATATATATACGGTTACATGATACGAAATAGTAAGTATAACTAGTGTTTTTAATCTACTGAATTTAGTTTGCTAAGTTCAAGTAGTAAATAAGCTCATTTTATAAATATTTAAATGTTTATATCTTAAGTGTCATCAGGACATTTTGTATTTGATTAGGAGTAGAACTTGGAATATTTACTTTATCTTTGAGTTTCATTAATTACATTAATCCTTCTTGAAGGTTATTGATATTTCAACTGTTAATTCAGTCCAGAACTCGTTTTTCCGAATGTTTATGATTTATACATTAACCAGTTTTAATAACTAACACTAATTTCATTAGACGATTTGTAAATTAAAAAAAAGATGTTCTAGTTGAAAAAGAATGAAATCATTATTTCATCGTTAATCCAAACATACTTGTTTATTTTGTTATTAACTATTTAATCTAATGACAATTAATCCACTAGCTGTAAATTTAAAAATTAACGATTAATTACAAACTATAATCGTGTAAATTGGGTAATTCTACATAAAATTGTCTTTTTTTCTCAAATAAATGATTTCATTATTGTTTATTAATTTGTTTGCGTTTTCCTATTTGAATGGCAAAAGAAATTAGCTACTCAATAGTAGCATAATCTATTAGTTCGTCTATTATAAATAATAAACAAATTGCATATATTAATAATTTATTGTATGAAATAGTCATCTTTAAAATGAAAAGAAAATTAATAAAAACAACAACAACCTAGAGATGATTTCATTTAATTTACAAAAAATAAATGCGCTAAGAAACTAAGAAAATGAGTAACGGTCAACTATTATAATAATACTGTCTTTATTGTGCTTCTAATAAACATATTGTTTTCTATACCTACAATCTAAATATATCTAAATTAACTATTTTCAAATAAACTAGCAGTAAACAGTTCAAGTTATTTTATACTAATCTGTGTCGGGTAAAAACAGGTGTCTACCTCAGTACAATGGAAGATGGTCGCTCAACTTTGTGGATTGGTTGAGGTTAGACATTAACACCGTTGGATGCCGGCCAGCTCAGTGGTCCAATAAGTTAAGCGTTCGCGCGCGTGACTGAAGGCCCTGGGTTCGAATCTCGCGAGGAGCGGGATCGTGGATGCGCACTGCTGAGGAGTCCCACAATAGGATGAAATGGCTGTCCAGTCCTCCCAGGTTTTCAATGGTGGTCTGACATCAATCGATTCATGATCTCAATCAAAAACTTGTCAATCTCCACAACCCCTAAACTGACTAAAATTTTTATATATTAACAAAAGTCTACCTACATACAAAGTAAATTCTAAAACTTATTTCGTCAACTTTTCATTCTTTTTCATAGGTACACTGCAGATAATAATTAGAATTACTCCGATTAAGGTTTTTTCTAAGAAATTTTCTTTCAATAATTCACCATTTCGTTCATTTTTTGGCTTGATAGATTTAAATCTTAAGCAATTAGCTTATCTGAGCTTAATTTATCTTATAATTCAATATTTGATATATACTTAATTATGGGTAAGGGTGAAATGGCTGTTTAGTAAATAGTTTAAGTTAATGTTGAACTAATTTTAAATAAATATTCTTGAAAACATTGTAAAGACTGTTTCATTCTATCTTACAAGTTATAATACCCATTCATTTTTAGTCATAAAACTAAGTATATTTTCATGGAAAGTTAAACATGTCAGAATGATGAATGATTATTTTTCAATATATGTCTCTATATATGAAAATCAAACGTTGAAATTTTAACAAGTCACTTAATCAGAAGAAATATTCAGCTAGACAATAATAAACGTTTTGTTCTGTCAATCATAATTGTATATTCTTTTCTTATATTCTCAGTCAAGTATACCAATGGAGTGACAATGTGGTTCGAACAGTTAATCGTACTTGGTTAAGTGCTTTTGGAACTTTTCAAAAATTGGCGCACATTGTGGTTTTACCAACTGTTGTAGTAAGTAAATTATATTTTAAGTATACTTTTGAATATTGTATTTTATGTTTAAAGTGATAAAAATTGTTTATTTTGGTACATATTTAAGCGGCTCTGTGGAGTTTTAGCATAACTAAAAGGTAACTTATACCATTAAGCATCATTAACTAAGAAACATCCAAAAACCAAGTAACATTACACTCCGTGGTATAATATGCTGTAATTATTTCAAACAAAAAAAAAAAAAAGAATTCCGTCACTAATACTGTAAAATTCTCTTTTGATGGATAAACCTGAAATTTATTTTTAGTGTATCTGTTATTAACATTTAAAAATAAAAAGTACGTAGTTTTCCTTTGAGTTGCGACTCAATATAAAACAAAACCTAGAAGTTTATAATAAGTCATGTAGACATCAGCTTTTAGTAAGAGTTGTCTGAGAAACAGTTATTTTCACTGACTACATTAACTTGAATGCTGGAATATAATGGTTTGTCAAAGATTAGAATATATATTCTATTTTCTTTTAGTCGAGAAAACTTTATTCGATCTCTTCTCTTTGGTGAGTTTTAGTTTTTACTGATTTTCTATCTTAATGATTCTGAGAAATGTGAGAACTCAAACCTATGCACCGTGGCGCTACTTTTTTGTATTCTCTACATGGCTGAAGTTTAATACCAATCATTTTGTCATCAAATTGTATTTGTAACGTGTTATTTATCACAAACACTACCTATTTATTATAATTAGTTACCCAATCCACTCTATGTTTGATTAGTAATTCATAAATTGATTTAATTATATTTTCTCATATATTCATATAAATATTATTGTATACTTGAATAGAGTGTAATAATAACCTAAGCGAAAAATATTATTCATTTGAAAGTCTTGCATTCATAACTAATTACATCATTGTGTTACGTCTATAATTCATTAATACATTTAATAACCGTCTACTTATAATGGGCATTACTAAAACCATAAATAACTTTTATGTAATCACCAGAAATAATATTGGTCAGTGAACCAGTATGTTAAACAAAACTGTCCTAAGTGCTTGATAACACAAAACTGAAATAGCTTGACAGATTAATAAAATCTTCGTACTTAGTGTGTGAAATTCACATTCCCTATTCTAATTAAATAAACATCTTACATGCAATGCTGACTGATATCTACATGAATAACAGTTAAAGTTTAATTACTGGGTAGCCTTCAAATTTGAACTGGAGTCCTGTGATTTATCAGTCTGATTTTCTACCAATTGTTCTTTGAGACCCAATCGTTAAACAAACCTTAATTTTAATAGTTGAAATCATGAGTCAATTGAAGCTAGACAACCATGGAAAACCTGGAGGCACTGGACAGCCGTTTCGTCCTATTGTGGAACTCCTCAGCAGTGCTCATCCACGATTTCGCCCCTCGCGAGGTTCAAACCCAGGACCTATCAGTCTCGCGCCAGACACTTAACCAACTAGACCACTGAGTCGGCCGGCATCCAACAGTGTTAATGTCTAACTTCAACTAATCCACGAAATCGCGCCACCGTACACCACTGTCTTCAGTTAGCTGATATCTCACAACTGACCTGGTTGAACTACACTGGTCACGGCTTCTCACTAGAACTCCAGGAAATGCCTCTTGAAATCAGTCACTAGTGAGCAGATGATTATTATTAGATGGGGTTTTGTGGAGATTTTAGCAATTTCAATAGTTGAAATCATGAGTCAATTGGAACTAGACCATCATGGAAAACCTGGAAGCACTGGAAGGCCGTTCGAATCTCGCGGGGGCGGGATCATGGACACACACTGCTGAGGAGTCTCATACTGAACAAAACGGCCGTCCAGTGCTTCCAGGCTTTCCATGATGGTCTAGCTTCAATTGACTTATGATTTCAACTATTGAAATTACTAAAATCCCCACAAAAACCCTTCTAATAAACCTTAATTTTACCAAGAATTGTGATTGAAATAGTATCCCTGACCATTTTTAAATGTTAACGACCGTCCTTCTATACAACTTAATTTTACAAATTGAATTACCATCATGCACTGACTTTACACATGAAAACTATGCATATACAATCAAAGAGTGGTTCTCCCAGTACATAAAAGTATAATCCTTAGAACATTTTTTACGTTTTGAATGCTGATGTCCACTTCAGTGGAAAGATGAGTAAGATTTTAGACTGAATCTCTTGAGAGAATTTATTGCAAAATGTTGTGCAATCTATTTTATTTTTATACATGCATAATAATTTACTTTCATAGTACCACAAAATAATCACTTTGATCTTAAACACATTGTGTTTTATGCTATTATAAAAAAGTTGTGGTATTTGTATCTTAGCGTTCTTATTTATAGAATTTACTTTTTGTCATATGTGCGAACATGTTCTTAAATTCTCCCTATGATCATGCAAACTTCATCAGCAGACTCAGATAAAAGTAAAACTTATTTGGAGTGATTTAGTAACCAGTCATTTTATATACTGAGTAGATATGAAGACAAATTACCTGCTTCTTCTCTGTACCTGTTTCTCTCGAAAACTTATTAATATTAACCTTTGTAACATTATTATATCTACCATCCCAGCCAAACGACTGAAGAGTTCCATGTTTTATCACAAAAATTTTGAAGTAGGTCATTTCTCACTTTCAAAGATTCACTTTTGTAAACACTTTCCTTTCCATTGATTGTTAGAATTTTAGTCGTATGAATCTTATATTTTTCTGTTAAAGAACAGCTCACATTTTCCTTTCAACCAATGTATTAACCAAATTTTGATGTTAGTCAGTAAAATTATTCCTCAGTTATACATATTATTTCATAACAATCGTACATCATCAGTTAAATCAAACTTCACTCTCATGTGTGAATTTTAGTCAATTATCAGACCTTTTACCCATTGTATTATACAGATTGATTAAAGGGACTTCATTTTCGAAACTTATCTTTGTTAAAATCTATATGATGTTTCTGATAGCAGACCAAAAATCAAAACAGACCCGAGTTAGTATATCACAGTTCCAGTTGGTATTTGATCAATACTGTTGACATGCGTTTTTTTTAAATGTCATTTATAATTAACCGACTCACTATTGGTCCGACTTTACTACGTAACATGTACAATCAACCAATCAGATTTAGCGTAGCTTTCTCAATCTGTTTACTATTAGAAAGTCAACTTAATCAATACCATAATCAATCACGTCATATATATTCGTCTATCTACAAATGAATTCCGTATTAGTACGTTGCTAAATAAATTAAGCTTACTAAATGAAACAATTTATCTATCAACAGATTTAACTGTTATTTAGGAAAAAAGCAGCGATTCATATTCTGCTCCTAAGACTACATTGGTAGTTAGTGTATTGATAATAATTTTGAAATGGTTTTCATTTGATGATAAGTAATTGTGATTACAAAAGTGTTCTGAAATTTTTCTGAGTCTGAGTCTTCATAATCTGTTTTCTACGTAGTTTTGCCATATTACATTTTAGATATAAACTTGTGTATGTATTACATTAATATCATGTTATCATACATTTTAATGGTGACTCTCATTTGTGCATTTAAGAATCTGTTAAAGACAAATAAATCTTAGATTTATTTAAAACATGAATATGTTTACTGTTTGTGAAGATATTTTGAGGTCTATTATTTTCAATAAGGAGTCAAGGCAGAATAGGGTTTATGTGTCTTTATTTTAAAAATAGTTGATAAATATCATCTGTAACTCATATAACTTTTTGAGATATCTTTTATTTATGGAGGTTATTTATTTAAAATATCTTTGGAAAATCTATTGTATCTCATTTTTCATGTGTATATAATAAATATTCAAAATCGAAACTTTGACAGAAATAGTATTTGGAATGCGGGTGTCGAGGCTTTCTGACATAAATCCTAGTTATTTTTGTCTCTTCTACATATCAGTCACAAAGACATTTAGTTCTTGTCTACTATTTCAGTGTACCATTCAATGAAAAAATGCATATAGAATAGCTTTCCCACGTCTGAAATAGTTTATGTCAAATTAGTGTTTTCGTTTTCAAATTATTCGATGAATTCAATCATATAGTCTCATTAGATTAAACATAATATACTGTTATATATCTACCATGAATACTATGCAGCTCAAAAACTAATTATCAATAGTCGAATTAATGAGTCGATCTAAGCTAGACCACCATTGGAAGCTTGGAAGCACTGGATGGCCGTTTCGTCTTAGTATGGGACCTTCGGTTTCACGAGCAAACTCTTAACCTCTATACCATTGAGCAATCATCCAACGGTGTTAATGTCTAGCTTCAATCAATATATGATATTGCTCCACCGTCCAACATTATCTTCAGTGGGTAACTGCTTTACAACAGGTACGGTTAAACTCCACTGGTCACGGCTTCTCACTAGAACTCCAGGAAATACCCCTTGAAGCCAGTCACTAGTGAGCACGTGATGATGATTATCAGAATAGGGGTTTGTGGAGACTAGTAGTTTTAATAATTTGACTCATGAGTCGAGACTGAAGATCTTGGGTTCGCGTCCCACGTATAGGATCGTGGATGCACACTGCTTAGGAGTCCCATACTAGAACGAAACGGTGGCCCACTGCTTCCAGGTTTCAATACTAGTCTATACATATATAACAATTTAGAATTGCACGCTGAGATTTTAGATTTGACAAAAACAACTTCTGTATCTAGCTTTTATAATATAAATAATCTGCTGTTTTAGAAAGTTCTCTATCTCTAGATCAGTATTCTTGTGATGTTTTTTTATTGCAATTATTACATGCAAGTGAAATATGTTGCATTAGTGGAACAAATGCAACATCATGTTTGCCTATGCAGATAAATCTTTTCACAATACCTCATTTCATGACATTCATCATTGTTTATTCAACCAAAAACTGTTTAGCTAATTAAAGTAACGAGTAATCCTTTATGAGAGTGGGGTAGTCACTTTATATATAAAAAAATTATGTAAAATAATTAAGAATCCAATAACGTACAAGTTTTTGTTTTATGTCCCTTCTAGAATGTCGATATCATTTTATCAATAATCATTGTGCTATATTCCATGTGTTATTCTCATTTCTGGATACTGTATTATTATTTAGCCTGTGTTTCTTTAAATCTCTAAATTATCTCCTTCACGTTATCTATCTACGTATTAAATGAAAAGCTGTAGTAACAGTTGTCATTTCTCTGACATTCATCATCTTTGCATGATATTTGTATTTGCTATTATTCTCTTTGAGCGTATTACTGAATTAATTAAGCTGTCAGTCAACTAACTTTTTCCAATTATTTACTTCCCATTTGAAGTGAATGTCACAACTTTTACTTGTTCTTTATTTTCACTGAAAACTATTTCTGTTAAGTCGGATAGATATTTTGTCCATATTTAATTCAATCTTGAACTATATCACTGACTAATATGTCTAAATAACTAAGGAAATTTGGATTTCCCAATGGTCACAAACATCCCTTACTGTTGAGTTGTTAACAAGTACTTCGATAGATTCTGATCGATTAATTCTGAATATGAAAATAAATCAAACTATGGTACTAATTATATCAAAATACAGTGTTTTTAAGGTAATGTTTCCTGAATAGACCAAAGCGTCTAAATTAAGTGTAATAGTGTGATCTACCCAGATTATTGCTTGCACAAAATTAATTTCCTGGAAATATTCAATAAAATGAATGCCATTGCTTTTTTAAAATTGGTTAATGAATTAAATGATAAAATTCTATTCTAATTAACTTAATAATTGTGGTAATTACTGTACTGTTAAAAGTTTCTATTCCTAATAAATGTATCATGGCGTGATTAAATGCTTTGATTTTAGAATGTTGTTTTTGATATAACGGGATAAAAAAATAACATTATTTAGGTCAGTATCTTTTGTATCAGATCAGTATAAACTTGGTTCAGTATATTTACTTACTCTTGTTACTCTTCCTGGAGGATCATAGTCCAACCACCAGTATCCTCAATCCAACCCTGTCCTGGGCAATGCTTTCCAGTTGCTATTCATCTTTTTGACGTCTACTTCCGATTCATGGTGTAGTGTGTTCTTCGACCTTCCCCTTTTCCGTTTCCCTTCAGGATTCAAAGTTAGGCCTTGTCTCTTCATGCAGTTTGATCATTTCCGTATTGTATGTTATATTCAATTCCGTTGTCTTTTCCTAATTTTCTCTATATTCGGAAGTCAGTTTGTTCTCTTCTACAGTAGGCTGTTGTTAATGGTATCCGGTCAACGGACATTGCGTATCTTTCGTAGACAACTGTTTATAAGTAATTGTACCTTTTTGATGATAGTTGTGGTAGTTCTCCAAATTTCATCTCCGTACAATAGAACTGTATTGACGTTCATATTGAGGATTGTGACTTTGATGTTGGTTGACAGACAGTTGTTTTGAGTTCCATATATTGTTTAACTGTAGGAATGTGGCCCTTGCTTTCATATTCGAATCAGATTCTCCATGTTCTTTGGTTATGCTGCCCAAATACATGGGTTGGTGTTCTCCGTGTTTTATTGGGGGATCTTGGTTTTTTCCTTGTGCATGTTAAGGCCTACTGATGCAGAGGCGTGTGTTATACTGGATGTCTTGACATTCATTTGCTCATGTGTATGGGATAGAAGGGTTAAGTCATCTGTGAAGTTTAAATCATCTAGTAGCATGCAAGCTTTTGTTTAACCATCTTTACTAGTAAGGAATTAGACTCAATGTATCTAAATATATAATTATTACTTTTTATTTACTGTTTCATTCACTTTCTATATTGTCATTTAAAGTGAATTATGGTTTTCTAATATAACTAATTAATGTTTTAAATAAATGAGTGAATAAAAATAAAACCTATTTTCTGTATGTATCTATTCATTTTACCAACAAAAATATAGATATAAATAAGAAATCTATTTTAAAACAGATTACAATTGATTGAGATAAGTAATAAATTGGACCTTAAATATTTATTACATAAACTAAAGCTATACATCAATAAAAATTATATTATACTTTATTTATCAGCAAATTTAAGATAGTAGTTCATGGTTTAAAAAATGTTTCAGTCAGACTGAGATATATATATATATATAATTTTTAGTAAGGATTTTTATTATCCTGTGGTTGATATTCAAGATTAAATTTTGATCAATCTTTGTTGGTATATGTGTATCCTATACGATTTAGCCGCTGTATCGCAAGTGTTTTAGAAAAAAAACGGATTATTGTTAGCAGTAACATCGAGGATTGGAGTTTTTGTCCTATTTAGGATTCGTACAGGCTATACATATACCAACAAAGACTGATCAAAATTCAGTCTTAAATATCAGCGATGGAATGTTTCAAACTCTTGCTAATTATACCATTAATATCTTATCTGTTGAAAAAGTTAGTGACTACTTGGACTCAGTAGCTCACTGGATAGGTTTTGGAATTTGAACCAAACGTTGCTGTTTTCTAATCCAAATGTAAATGCCAGCACAGAGATGTAGATATATCCTACTGACACAGTTTAAATAAACGTACCTAATGGTTCCTACTGCTAACTGCAATATATATATTGATTGCGGTGAAATATGATTTCGTTAATTAATTGCGATGCAAAAATTCGGTCACGTCTCTTTCCACTTAAATAAAGATAGCCTTTACTCTTCAAAATAGGTGATCCTCGAGACGTAAAATAAATAATTGATACGAATGTAGTGAACACAGATGGGGATAGCTAATTTATTATTTAACGCAAAATTACAGTTCTTTGGTGTGAAAACCATATATTAAATACTTCATTTGCAAATCTTCCATCAATTTTCCTTCGCATTTCATATAATTCTTCCAATTCTCAATTCCTTTCTATCTCTGTTTTGTTTTCCTCAACTCGATCTTTTTAGCCTTCTGCTGCTAGGTATTCCGCTTCTGATTGGTGTTACATAACACTTATGTCTGTTGACGTAAATAGCTTACACCACACAAGTACACATATAAATATATAAGTTGACAAAATAAATCTTTTAAAAAATTCTGCCTTATAGCGTATTGCCAGATCATTCTACGACTGTCCAAATCTTGATGGTGTCGAGTTAGAAGATGAGGATGCTGCAGGAGTGTATCTAACACACTGGGAGAAGCGCCTTTTAGAGGTATGTTTTACTAATAAATACATCCATTAGAAAAATGATAACCAATAAATTCATAATATCTAGCACAACATTAAGTCGTAGTACTTATAATTTATGTAGTATCCAAATTTAAAAATGAATAGTTAAAATGCCGTAGAGGACTTAAGGATTTTCTAGTAAATGCAATTAAGGATGAGAATTAAGCCTGAATACATATTTAGAATATCATACAATTAGACATCTATGAACAACGCATATAGCCAATTGACTAAGTTCTCTAATTACACCTTCTCGAAATGTAATCACATATCACAGACAATAAATTTCACGTCAGTCGTATTCCAAACGATTAAATCGTTGTATCAATATCCTTAACTGGAGATTTATTCTTCATATGAAATTAAACTATTTCGTCATTCTTCAACAAATAACCGTCAAGTATTCGTGACGGACTTTTCCTCTTAGGATCACTTGGTAAATCTCCGTGAATATTTTAAAATAATTTTCAAAAATCACAACAGTATTGCCATAGCTTGTTATTTATGGTTTATGTCATAGATACTAAGTTACTTATGAGTAGTTACATTTTAATTTCTAAATTTTCAAACATTTTTTAAAAGAATGATTTGATGACGGCAACATACACAAATTCTTTTCAAATTTCACCGATTACTCTGGCAATGATGGAGGATACCGGGTAAGCTCCTCAAGTTAAAGTGGCTCTAAACCATTTGTATTCTGAATTTATATCCCCAAGAGTTGATTACTTTTCCCCCCTTAATAAAACGTTTAAATCTAAATGCTTTAAGATAATTATGTGATGATCGCTTAAAATTAACCTACAATTCCTAGATTCTATTTGAATTTTTCAGTACTCATTGTATTATACATAAATAAGTAACATTACAACAGCTCACTTGAAACATATTGTTTTAAAGTTCGACACTTAATAGTCAGTGGTAAAGGTGTGATGTGGTTAACAGGATAATTTAGTTTGTCGGTTAACATAATCAGTAAAGGAATTTTCAAAAAAAAACACAATTATTTTATAACTACGCTCTTGGTTGTGGAGACAGATTCTCAAACTGATAATATCCAAAAGAAATTTTTATGTATTGTTTCAGAATGTTAAACTCATAATCTCAAACCTCACTCATCATAATCTGGTTTTCACGTTATTGAGAAAACCCTTTCTGTGCAGTTGAAGTTTAATAAAAGTATCTGTTTACTTACAAATTTATCGCTAATGATAGATTTGTTTAACTAATATTGTAAGTCATCGACGAACTTAGTTACACATATATACTATAGTATGATTTTACCTGGTGACTGTAAACAAACTCTTTCAAAGGTATAGTACAATTAAATAGTTAAAACTAGGATTGAATATCAACAGTTTGTTTGCTAAATAAATTTTCAAAGTTCCTCAATTATGACAGTGGATCATATTTTCCACAATAATTCCAATGATCGATGAAGGAAGCAGAATTTTGTACGCGTTCTTAATATTCAAACAAATTCGTTCGCAGTTTTCTGTAGTTTCTTAATGTTTTCAGACACCACATTTTCAAAGTATCCGTTTGATTTTCAGCAGACTGTTTGTTGAGCTGAACATCTAATCAACAAATGACCCGGTTTAACTGTTGTAATTTACCATTAGTCATGCTATTTTTGATCTCTTTAACTGTGGGTTGATTGGCTTTCGCATAATTGTTAGTGAAACTTTTCACTTGAATTCCTTTAACTTGTATAATAAGTAATTAGCATTCTCATCACTCCTAAATCTTCTAAAGTAGAAGCCTAAGAAACCTTCATATTTAATTTTCTAGTAAAAGCAATTTATAATCTATCTGCAATCTTGACATTTTTCTTCATTTAAGATGGTACATCTCAAACTATGCATTATCTCAGTCTTTCAGTTGGGGTAGAGGTAGAGGATGTACCTTTGCTACTGGCAGTTGTTTAGAATACATGCTAGAACAAAGTCGTGGGTAAGTAATTTGATGTAAAACTTTCGCTATTCAATATTTACACTAATGTTGAATGTTTACAGGTTAGTGGATTATTCATTTGATTAATCTGAGAATAGTCAATATAAATATTCAAAATAACCCAATCGTTATTGACGACTTTGGAGATCTGTACAGATTAGTTGGAATCATTGAACTCGAGGTTGGTATTAAAATGCTTGCTGACAACACAATAGTCCATTATCGAATTGTAACCTCTTTGACTTATTTCAGAACCCCATCAAAAGATACGGATTTCCATCCTTGTTCAAGTCTCGGTTGTGCATTAAGGAAGAAGCCTTAAATTAAGTCATGATGTGTGCCCGCTTTTAAGTCGTTCTTTAGTGATTAGAAATCACAAATAAATTAATTATTAGTTATAATCGAAGTCAAGCCACTTGATATTTTGACTTAGAACCAAAAATTACAAAATTAAGGCTCCCATCTAAGGACTGATTTGTAAAATGTAAGAGAGTGCAATGAACATCAATCTGATAATAAACTGTAGCTTAGGTCTTCATGCATGGTTTGATTACGTACTTCAGCTTGACAAATCCCCTAAACAAGTATCAGTTGTAGAAAGCTTTGAGGAAGCACTTTAGTGCTCCACATAGAATTTAAGATATTCATTGGGTGGACTCAGTGGAGTTACTACAGCATATGGACGTCTTCAGTAGCAAAATAAGCTTTTCTGAATAGTTTGTGTTATGCTGTACATATGTTTGATGGATCTAATAAACAGAATATTTTCTACTGTATTTACTGACAGGGAAAACAGAGAATAATATTCTTTTACATTTGAGTTGCAGTGATACTTTGGCGGCATGGTTTTAAGCGGTCCACTGTTAGTGAACTATACAAAATATTGAGCTTTTATAACCAAATCACTTCTAATACGAACTTGTCCTAAAATAACACATTCAACATGAGTTTTCTCATAAATCATATATACACTTCTAAACAACTTTTACCTAAATGTATTTTGAAGCGAATAGCTTGCATGACACCGTAAATCTCTAGTTTTCATAACTAAAATGTATAGCGTATTGTGTTTTCAGATAGGTTTTTGTGGATATTATAGTAATATTATTAGTTGAGATTATGAGTCAATTAAAGCTAGACAACGATGGAAAACCTGGAAGCACTGAACGGCCGTCTCGTCCTATTGCGAGACTCCTCAGCAGTGTGCATCCACGATCCCGTCTCGCAAGATTCGAACCCAGGACCTATCGGTCTCGGGCGTGAACGATTAACTTCCAGACTACTGAGCCGGTATCCAACGGTGTTTATCTCAAACTTCGACTAATCCACAAAGATTTGTTTTCATTTATTTTTGAGTATGTGAATTCAGGAAGTTGACTTTCATGAGTTATTATATTAGAATACGGATATCTCACAATTGCTGCTAATTATGTAAAAATTTTCCCTTATATTTTGTAAATTACATAATACTTTAATACGTAAATTAAACAGAAGGTAAACTATCTTCGTTCACAAACAAATATCGTTTGGGTTTTAATTAACGTAATATTTTTTCTTTTCCTTTTTATAGTGGTCATTCAATTGCACCCTTTTGTCAACAGTTAACTTCAAGCTTTCACAATAAAAATAATGGATTACAGGTTAGCTGTACACCTGGTGAAGAAAGTTATGGATTTTGTAATCTAATTGAATATTCCAAACCATTGCCTGCTGAATATGTATATTTCGTTAATACAAATTTCTCGACTTTTATATTGAATTCTGAAATCAATCTAGGTACTGGAAACTTAACTAATCAGTATCCTTTGGTTAAATTAGGAGGAAAAATAGCTTTGGCTAATTACTGTCCATATCATCAGGTTTGTTAATTAAAGTTATTTAATTATAATGTTAATAAAATCATTCACTTAAAGACTATTATGTAATTGTCGATGTGTGAGAGTCAAACATTTTTGTTGTTGGGATTTTGAACGGTATAACAATCGAATGGATAAAACGATAGAAAGAAAACTCTCACTTATTGTACTGATCACAGTGGTAGCTTGGTGTCTGTTGATTTAGCGTTATTATTTTGGGTATTTAGACTCATGATATAAACACAATTAAAAAAGTGTGGAGGATCTAAACTTTGGTGTACATGTAAGTAAAATTCAGTCGTATAAACTAAATTTGACCCTTAATTGGAGAAATTATATTTGAGTTTCTATGAAACTGTTCATTTAAATATTGACAAATATTTGTATAAAATATATCTGATTGTAAGCAAAGATGGATAGTGGTTAGCAGGCGAATACAGGACGCGCGTTTCGTCCTATTTGGGACTCGTTAGCTGGATGTACCTGCATCTCAAAGTTGATTTTCGTTCTGGGAGTCGAACGCCATCGTGTTATCCACTTAGCTACTGAGCCCTAATAGCCACCTGCTTGTGCGATCGGGTGAAGTTTAAATTCACTTGGTGTTGTTTTACTTGTATCTTCCCATTGTTATTTAGGAGTACAATTGATCAGTCTCTTATTGGCATATGTGCATCATGTGCGAATTTCCTCGATATTGCTTTAAGTTCATCTCTGCTTATATCTGATTCTGTTTGAAAGTTTCAAAGAACATACATTCGGTGACTACTTAAGATTTCTTAACTATAGTAAAACATGGTCTAGATATAAAGACCGAAAATTCACTTAATGTGATATTCAAACACAGAATCATGATCAAAATGTTCACATGACATAAACATAATCAGACTTATTCTGATTTCGATTTTGACTGAACTAAATATTCTGCCTTGTTCCTTTATACTATTTAATTCGGTTATCCATTTGTTTACTTTGAAATATTGGCTTACATTAAGTCACGAAACATCAGAAATTCAAATTTCTACTCATTGGGATATCACTATTATATTATGATTTTTTTATCCTCATTGAAATGTTTTTCCTAAATACATTTAATAGCATCAGAAGGGGTTGAGATCATGAGTCAATTTCTATTCATTCTTATGTAAACTTCTTTTTGTAGGAAATTGAATGGGAAGATGATGTAGGAAAATCAATTGCTAATACTCATTGTCATGCATCAACTAATTTGAAAGGTAACTTAAATCTTGTTTACATTCATACTTCATTTTAACCTGTAGTAGAATCTATATAATGTTAAATTAATAAATCAAATTCAATATTATCATTATTCACTACATTTTTAAAAGTGGTATATTTTAAACCACATGACAAACAAATTATTTTCCATTGAACACTTGCCAAGTAAATTCAATAGTTGAGATCATGAGTCAATTGAAGCTAGACCACCATGAAAAACCTGAAAGCAGTAGACGGCCGTTTCGTCTTATTGTGGGACTCCTCAGCAGTGCTCATCGATGGTTCCACCTCGCGAGATTTGAACCCGGCCGTCCAGTGCTTCCAGTTTTTCCATGGTAGTCTAGCTTCAATTGACCCATGATCTCAACTATTGAAATTACTATAATATCCACAAAACCCCTTCTGAAGTTGCCTTGTAGTTTTGTTTTATATTTTAATTGTACTAAATTACTCAATAAATTGATCAGATTAGTCTCATTTTCTGCACTTTTTCAATTTATCTTTTGAATTGTTTATTATAACCAGTATATCAGTTTTTATCAGCTCAAGATGAACTACCTGTTATATTTATTGGTAATATCTGTTGTTTTTACTCTTGATTTCTCCGAATGAACTAACAGAAATAAATATTTAACTTTAAGTGGGATAGTTTTAATTTCCTTTATTGAAAATAGGTTGAAGTAATACTTACTTACTTACTCCCGTTACTCCCAATGGAGAATAGGCCGCCGAATATTGAAGTATCAGTTTTTATAAATTCATTTATGATTTTTTTTGAAAGTTTTAATGTGACTTTTTCAAAATAACCAATTATATGATAAAACAAGTTCTTATTGACACTTCTTTTCAAAGAAGTTTTATTTCATTGAATGTTTCGAACTAAACTACTTTTGATTATATTTAAGTTTAGTCGATTCTCATTAAGTGATTTGACTTGTTTGGAAGTATTGGTGCTGTTTTTTTTGTATTTGAATGGATGAAAGCAGGCTGTTAGCAAGTGAAACCATTCAGAAAGAATTGTAATATATATCAGAGATGGACTAGGGTACTGAATATTCCTTTCGGATCACTTATAATTATTACTGAGAAGGAAGTAAACTTTAACCACATTGTTGGTCCCAATCGGATTTAAAGCTGAAGTCAACCTTATATTGTGTTACTTATGAGTAGCTCAACACGACTCATAAGCTTTTTTTCCCATATTTATAGGGTACTTGAAAATGAGATAACCATAATATTCGCCTTCAAATAATTGCTAAATATTTGATGCTCATTGTCAAACTAAACTTCTTCGTCAGTATGAATTCATTCAAAGTCGTGTATTGTGGTTTATAACGATTTCGGCTTTTCATTTCTCTCACAAACCTAGATTACCCCACTAACTGTTATGGGCAATTCATTATTCATTTGTATTTTTTTTTATTATTATACAGATCCACATCACAACTTTAAACTTGAACGATTTGGTATGGATTCTGTTTGTGTAGAGCATAGTCCCAATTGGCATTTAATAAATGGAGACTCATTATTTGTTCCACCAGTGGAAGGAGCTGGATGTTACACAGTATGATTTGAACAACTTTTTCAATGATGATATCTAGCATGCCTAATCTTCTGAACATTGTAGAACAGCAGAAGACTTCGTTTTCAGCTGTACCCTCATTTATTCAGTATACTAAATCACTTTGTAACTATTCTTTATTGAAGTGAAATGCATTCGTGCACATTTATTTGTTTCATATATCTTACTGTAATATTATGATAGTCACTTTCTTATTTCATCTAATGCGTCACACTGGTGAAGATTACGTCTAAAATACTGAAAATGTCATACATCGTTTATAATCTACGAGTTTTCTAGCTATTTATAATGATACGATTTTCATATTCTATAAAGTATTCATGTGAAGCCTAATAATTATTCTCTACCAAAATTGTTGCTTGCTATTAGGAATGTATCATAAATATACGTATTTATGTCTTCTTCAAAGTCTATCGTAAACATAATTCATTTAAACCGTTCACAAAGTTAGTATGAAAATGGAACAGTGAAATCCTTCTGAGATCACTCCATACTAATTCTTTCTTATTTGGTCACTTCGATCTTATTTATAAACTTTCATAATTCTTATTTAACTTACTTTTTGTCCATCGTATTTTATATTGAATTGTACTCTTATTTAGATAGTATTTTTGATTAATTTTCTTATTTCTGAGAGCAAGGACAACCTTTTTATCGTATTTATGGTTTATAAGATTTCATTTCTCTTCAGTTTTTATTTACGTTTTTAGACAATTTTTTGGATTTTAGTACAAACTAATGACAGTTGAGGATTTATACAGTAAACTTTCCCACTCTATTCTAGGACTGTTAAGCACCCATAATAATCGCATAGAAGTTAATTATTGTCAGTTTATCGATAAGCTGAAGACCATTAGACGTATGGGTTAGTAAATGTAAAAGAGAAGTTGTATGTATTTGGTTAGTAGATTTTTAAAATTTGTAAGTTTGAAAAAGTTATTACCATAGTCATTCTTTCAAACATATTTTTATAGTTTAAGAATACTTGTTGCCTTCATGAACACTTTTAAAACCAGAGTTCCCTATTATCTTTCTTACAAACGTTATCATTAGATATTTGTATAATTTTTTTTTCGGAAAATTTCAGTTCCGATGTTCAATGACCGAAGGTGGTTTGGTTTTAGAACTTGCTGGAGGTATGTCGATTCCTTGTAAAGTGCCAGGAGAACTCAGCGAAATTAACGCTTGTTTAACAAAACAAAGTCTTACTGTGAAAGGAAAACTTGTATGTCCTGATTGCAGATTACTATGTCCAGTAAGTAAGGACTAAGGTCTTCTAAATTTATTTATTCCACCTGGTCATCTTGTTAGATGTTTTTAGAAATACGCTTATTGATAATCGCGTTGGTTATATATATATATATATATATATATATATATATATATATATATATATATATATACTTCTGTGGTGTGTTCTAGTGATGTTGACAGATACAAGTAGTATGTATCATCAATCGAATGTGCAATGTCTGGCCGTAGAAGGTTAAGAAGAGCAAAAAATGATCGGTGTGGAAATGAAAGAACAATGAATTCTGGGACGAGTGATTGACATTTTGCAGAAAGATCAGTCAAGTTTGAGGCAATGGATTGGCATTTTGCAAATGGAGTATTTACTGTGTGGTTCTGTAATTTTATGTCCAAACACATTCGATTTTCCACATTTGTGTTCTTGTTTACTACACTTCTCCAGTAGCCGAATTTTCTTAAAGCCATGTTCTACAAGAGTGGAAGTGAAATGCATATTTAAGTTGACATGCTAGATGTGATTGATTCTCTGTGTCAGAATTTATACGCAATATGATCAAGCTTATGCAGCTTAACACCACTAAAGTAATTTTCTTTAGTTAGAAAAATTTCCTCTACTATCTTACTGTGCTCAATATTAAGATTTTCTTTTATCATTATGTATGTATATGAGAAAGTGAAGATAATTTTTCTCACTGTATTTGAATTTTTTTTCTTTAAAATAAATATTTTAGTTATCGGAGTGTCCAAAAATTTATTCCATTTCACAAAACAATGTAACATATCTCAAATCAAATTACTCCAACGATCATTCGTCTTCGTTTTTGTATGAAACCAATATGTTTATACCTAAATCACATACTATACAGTATTCTCAGTTAATTGTTAATGAAACTGAGTCTATTATTGAAAATCCATTGTATATTGTTAAAAATTCTAAAAAGACTAAAGGTATTGTAATACAACAAGCTATTCTACCTGGTGTATGTTTAGTTAATATTGCTTACTCATCTACATCTTTAACTTTTTCAATATTCATATACTTTGTAGTGTTTTTTCAATTATTCTATTTATAAAATGCCTTATTGCTTTATACGTGCACAAAAATATTTCCTATCAGTTAGAATTTATACTTTATTTCGTTATGCTTATAATTTTTGCATTTCTTTTCACATGACAAGATCACGATTAATTATTATTTTTTTTTAAAAAAAATAAAATAAATAAAAAGTAACAATATGCATTTTCAATTTTAAAACATTTAAGAATACTTGTTTAAAATTGTTTAAAGGACTCTATAGCAATTGTTAGTAGGAAGTATTTTTCATTATCATTTAACCAAATTAGTTAGTCGTTATTCTGAATGATTGGCAATAGCCATCACTCATTCTTACACTGGAATTATTAATTATGAATACCCATAAAGAAAATATTTCAGTAATGGTGCATAAGTTCATATTGTATTTAAACTAGTTAAATGGATCATTTTCAAATAATTCATTGAAGTTTTGCATTGAATTTCAATTTGCATTTATTTGACAGAATAATGAATATCTACAGTCAGCAGTTATGGGCTCACGCTAGTTGTACCAGAATATGTTGTACTGAAGTGTCTGGAGATTATAACAGTATGTCACTGCAATGTGCATATCATTTCAATGAATTTTTAAGCACTTACAAACAAAGATAATAAGGAAATAATAATCGAATAGACTAAAGGATTCAATCTATTTTGACTAGACTTTAGGGATCCATCATAGTGAGTGACGAAACCGAGAGGATAGAAGCGATGCAAGTAAATCGAGACTTTTTAACCGTTAGTGTAGTCGTTGATACAGTATCAGTAAAATAGCCCTAGTGGCTAAATATTTACAAAATCAAATTTCAACAAAAACGATAAAGGAAATTCAACATAAATTAACAAAACGAGTTTCATAATCATTTTTAGTGACGAGTGAATTCACTGATTATTATTAAGTAAAAGCAAACACTTAATTATAATTCAATTTCATACGTAAAACGCTTTTATGAATCTTTTAACTCACATTATCCATATTTTACTAAGCCTACATATAACTTGACAATAGCTAAATATTTTGACACTCAACAATATCAGTATTGCACAGTCTTTATCCAATATGCAGCAAAGTAATTGAAGGTGAAAATATGAACTATTGAATTCCGTTATAGTTGTTTAAATATATCATGATTTATAAGAAACTTCATGGTTTTGTGTATAACGTCATCAACTGAAACTACCACTGAATTTCTAACTAGTTTGAAACAATTATCCAATACAATCTAGTGTTCAATTACTATCCAGTTATCATTAGTCTATCATAATATTACCTTTTAAATAAGTGACTGATTTGAATGCGTAACACATACTCATTAATTTTAATCATTAACGTTTATTTTATTCATATTTTTCTAATATCATATGTACCAATTTCTATTTAGATAGAAATAATCACGGTAGAAATTCTATGACCATTGCTTAGTATATCAATTGATATTTATAAATCAATTATAATAAATGTTTATACGGATATTCGTCAAGATTAGAATGAATAGTATGAAAAAAATTAAGCGTCGAGTATGGAGAACATATTTTATGTGAAATTTATATGTGAAATAATTTCAGCAATTAAAATTTAAAATAATTCTAACGTTCGGTCCAACTAACTTATCTGAACTTCTTCAGGATAATAATCAAAATCATCAAATAAATATATGTAGCTTTTTACAATAAATGACTTTCTTCTAAAAGGAAAACAATAGAATTAAAATAAGATTTAATTTTTCACATTATTAATTATTTAGTTGTATCTGATTCATATACTTAATTAACTAAGAGTATCACCTAGTTCTTAATAATATCTGATTCATTGTATTACGTTTGGTTGTTCTTTTTATTTTTGTTTTATTCTCATATATTTTTAAGTAGATTTGTTTACTGTTTTTATTTTTAAACATAGATTTATTAATTACTGGATATATTAAAACAAGAATAGATCACATGACACAACAGAATGAAATTTTTCACTGTATTTTTCTGTTTGCTGTTGTTGTTGTTGTCAATATGATAAAAATAAAGAAATAATTCCACTAGTTCACACCTGTCAAAATATATAAATTGAATGAAAGGGGGTGGGAGAAATAAAATACTGTTTACTAACTAACTGATTAATTATATTTTATAGTTGTGTTTGTTTGTTTGTTTTTTTTGTTTTTTACTTTTCTCTATTTTTGCTATTCAACACAAAATTAATAATGGTTACAAACACTAAATTTATAAATAACTGTACTAATATATTTTTATTTAAAAAAAAAAGAAAAAAAACAACAACACACTATAAAATAAGGGTTAGTAAAGTTCATTTTCATATCTTGACTTAATTTTTATTTTTTTAATCTGTAGAGAATTTTTATCAGAGACAGAGAATGTAAAGAAAAAAAGAAAGAATATTTAAAAAGATGTTGATAAATAATTATTTAATGAACATGTGTTCATAAATTTATGTGGTTAGCATTAATTCTAAACTTTTTTTTTCTAAAAACAAAAATTTGTCATAGTTTTATAAGTTTACCGACAGAAAATATGGTGTATCATTTTCATCGGTCATTATATACGATATAAACATATAAATGCTATATAAGCGTTTTGTTTTGATTAAACTACATTCTCCCATTTAGTTTGAATAATAATGACAGTAGTATTTAAGATAATAATTACATCTTTTTATAATTGTGTTCAAACATGTTTACAACACTGGGATTGTGTTGTTATATATATATATATATATATATATATATATATATATATATATATTCTTTCAAATTGACTAGAATATAATATACATACTAATAAAATATATATAAACAGATTCTATTCAAATCAACTCTACAGACCAATAATAAAATGAATTTTAGAAAAGCATTAAATGCTTAGAAATTTTGTTAGCATAATCATGTTATTGGTAGAAGAAAGAAATAACATAACACAACAGGGCATACAAACATTTCTGTTTAACATTCAGACTATTCATTTGTTTCATATATTTCGGTTGATGGGATGATGAGTATATATATATGGAAAAGCGAGTATACTTAATTCATAAAATAATTGAGTATAATTATAGTCCAATTTCAATGAGAATTATAAATAAATGGAATAAATACATTGACACACATACATATCTATAGACAACTGTACATACGTAAATTATCTTTGATTTACTAAAGCTTTAAATATTCATATAACAATAATAATAATAATAAGTAATTATTTGGTATTAATTTCATTAAAATGAAACATTAGATATGTTCTCTTCTTTTTTTTATCATTATAATAAAGTAAAAATTTACTTTGGTAAAATGAAATTCACAATTCATTTGTTGGATATAGTTTTATTATATTCAACAATGTAAGTTGATTATTAGTCCTTTTTAATTAATTGAAATAGTAAATTATTTAGCTTTATTGTAATTTTGAATAAATTTATCATAAAACATAAATGTTTTTAGATCTAGTATTCTACAGAATATTCTATGTATATTATTAATAAAGAATCTAAAACTAAGTTGAAAGATATATTCATTGACTGTTCTTTAGATTTGAATAATTTTCTAATCATTGTTAGTTAATGATTAAAACTGATTTTAAATTGAAGTATTATTTTCCTTGAGAAAGCTTGGACCAGATTGTCAGGTGAAACGTTGGATTTACTTCAAATTCTTTCGCTGAGATTTTACAAATACATTCTTCTTCTTCTTCTTCTTAAATGTCTCACATTAACTCGGCGCCCAAATATTGTGAAACTATTCGTTTAAATTTAGACGATAGTTCTTATTTATTATTCTGAAGTATTATTTGTTTATAACCTTAACTGTTCGAAATGATGATTTTTACAAAACAATATCATCTGACATTTTATATATAATTTAATAATCTATTTAATGAAAATTTAGCTGAATTTTTGGTTGTTAATAGAACTTCATTGCATTGTTTGTCTGAATTTCTATGGTAAAAATGAATGAATTTATTAGGAAATCACTTTAAATAGAAGAAAACTGTATGTAAACATTTTGATTTCATTTATTTTAATTTCAATGGTTAAAGCTAGATCACCATGGAAAATCTGGAAGCACTGGACAGCCGTCTCGTCCTATTGTGAGACTCTTCATCAGTGTGTATCCGCGATCCCGCCTTGCGAGATTTGGACGCAGGATTATCGGTTTCTCGAGAGAGCGCTTTATTTGAGAAAACGTCTTATATTACTGCGAACTGTTTTATATATGTATCTTGAAAATTGTACTGAACCAGATACGTAAAGATTAAAGTCAAATTTTTGATATTACTATTGTTAATGACTGTATTCAATATTATATTTTTGGTACAATATAGAATTCGCAGTACGAGGTATTTCAACAAGTTTCTTTGACAAACACAAAAAGGGAAATGTTAAAAAAGATCTGAAACTGTACAACATTTCAACTAGAAACATGTTTAAGAAAACAAACTATTGACTAGGTCAATTCTATTAACCTGTCCGTCACAAAGTATATTTGCTAGATAAGGTATTATAGAACTTATATATTGACGTCTCGTTCTACCAGATGATATACAAGGAGAAAGATATGAACGAAGTGGCTGATAAGATAACACCTGTCAACAGTGTGCAAGGCTTTAGATGTCTATCCGCAACCATATTCATAATGACCTCGAAAGACTCACCACACGCCTTGCTAACTGCCTTCAGCATTGTCTGCAATACAGTAGAGTCTTTTCTCGAAAGCTCGAGAAAAAATAATGGAGAACAGTAAAGAATAATAGGTAATATGCAAGAATTGACAAATTGTGGGAGTAAATGTCCGGTAAGTTCCAAAGCATGCTGTCTCTTTATGTAGTAAGTCAGACGGAAAACGTTCTTCTATAACAGTAAAACATGGGAAGGCCAAGAGAGATCAGAAGAAAAGGTAACACTGAGGTAATCTATCTTCAACACTATGTTTACCGAATAATCTCCAATGGCACAAGGATTATGGGATCCCAACATGGTGTTAAGTCGGTGTTCATGTTTCAGGCTAAAGTTAACAGTTTGACATTTAGATGGATTAAGTATGAGACCATTAATAAAAGACCACCATTCAATACGAGACTAAATCTAATTCATTTCTATGGGCTGTAAAGAGGTAGAAATCGAT